GAGTTCTGTACCCACGGTGAGAGTTTAACATCTGTCTGTTGGATGAATTCCAGTTTTATTTACAGACTTTGTGATGTTGAGGGTTAGAGCAAGCATGATCACATGAGGGAGACTCTCAGAAGATAACCTTTTTTTGAAAATGTAGTTTAAAATATCAGGGTGCAATGGCTCACACCTATAATCCCCACACTTTGGGAAGCTGAGACAGGTGGATCACCTGAGGTCAGGAGATCAAGACCAGACTGACCAACATGGTAAGACCCCACCTCTACTAAAAATACAAAAAAATTATCCGGGTGTGGTGGCGTGCTCCTGTAATCCCAGATACTCGGGAGACTAAGGCAGGAGAATCACTTGAACCTGGGAGGTGGAGGTTGCAGTGAGCCAAGATTGTGCCACTGCCCTTCAGCCTTGGTGACAGAGTGATCTTTTTAAAACACAACAGACCTGACATGGTGGCTCACACCTGTAATCCCAGCTCTTTAGGAGGCCGAGGTGGGCAGATCACTTGAGGCCAGGAGTTTGAGACCAGCTTGGGCAACATGGCAAAAACGCATCTCTACAAAAGATACAAAAATTTGCCGGGTATGATAGTGCATGCCTGTAGTCCCAGCTACTCGGGAGGCTGAGCAGAGGTGGGAGGATGGTTTGAGCTTGGGAGGCAGAGGTTGCAGGGAGGCGGAGTTTGCAGCGGGCTGAGATGTTGCCACTGCACTCCAACTGGGGTGACAGAGCCAGACCCTGTCTCAAACAACAACAAAACACAGAACAGATGGTTTCACATTGTTGCTTAAAACTCTCTAGTAGTGACTTCCCATAATCTTTATAGTAAACCCAAGCTTCTCACCAGGCTGTTAGAGCCCCTCGTATCTTTTTTTTATTCTTTTGAAAGAGAGTTTCACTCTGTCACCCAAGCTGGAGTGTAGTGGTGCAATCTCTGCTGACTGCAACCTCCACCTTGTGGGTTCAAGTGACTGTTGTGCCTCAGACTCCCAAGTTGCTGGAATTACAGGCACACATCACCATGCGCAGCTAATTTTTGTATTTTTTAATTACACTTTAAGTTATGGGGTACATATGCAGATCTTACAGGATTGTCGCATAGGTATACACATGCCATGGTGGTTTACTGCCTCCATCCCCCCATCACCCACATTAGGTATTTATCCTAATGTTATCCCTCCCCAACCTCCCCACCCCCTACTATCACTCCCCTAGCCCCCCACCCCCCAACAGACCCCAGTGTGTGATGTTCCCCTCCCTGTGTCCATGTGTCCTCATTGTTCAACACCCACTTATGAGTGAGAACATGCAGTGTTTGGTTTTCTGTTCTTGTGTTAGTTTGCTGAGAATGATGGTTTCCAGCTTCATCCGTGTCCCTGCAAAGGTATCAGCATAAGATCAAGGTATCAGCCTTGATTCTCATCCCTTTTTATAGCTGCATAGTATTCTATCGTGTATATGTGACGCATTTTCTTTTTCCAGTCTATCCTTGATGGGCATTTGGGTTGATGGGCATTGGGCATCATTCTGATCCCTTTTTATGGCTGCATACTATTCCATGGTGTATATGAGCTGCATTTTCTTTTTACAGTCTATCATCGATGGGCATTTGGGTTGGTTCCAAGTCTTTGCTATTGTAAACAGTGCCACAACAAACATATGTGTGCATGTGTCTTTATAACAGAATGATTTATAATCCTTTGGGTATATACCCAATAATGGGATTGCTGGGTCAAATGATATTTCTATTTCTAGATCCTTGAGGAATCACCACACTGTCTTCCACAATGGTTGCACTAATTTACACTCCTACCAACAGTGTGAAAGTGTTCCTATTTCTCCATGTCCTCTCCAGCATCTGTTGTCTCCAGATTTTTTAATGATCTCCATTGTAACTAGTGTGAGATGGTATCTCAATGTGGTTTTTTGTTTTGTTTTGTTTTGTTTTCTTGAGACAGCATTTCACTCTTGTTGCCCAGGCTGGAGTGCAATGGCATGATCTTGGCTCACCACAACCTCCGCCTCCTGGATTCAAGCCATTCTCCTGCCTCAGGTTCCCGAGTAGCTGGGATTACAGGCACGTGTCACCATGCCTAATTTTGTATTTTTAGTAGAGACAGGGTTTCTCCATGTTGGTCAGGCTGGTCTCAAACTCCTGACCTCAGGTGATCCACCCATCTCGACCTCCCAAAATGCTGGGATTATAGGTGTAAGCTACCATGCCCGGCACCTTGATGTGGTTTCAATTTGCATTTCTCTAATGACCAGTGATGATGAGCATTTTTTCATATGTTTGTTGGCCGCATAAATGTCTTCTTTTGAAAAGTGCCTGTTCATATTTTCACCCACTTTTTTATGGGGTTGTTTGTTTGTTTCTTGTAAATTTGTTTTAGTTCTTTGTAGATTCTGGATATTAGCCCTTTGTCAGATGGGTAGATTGCAAAAATGTTTTCCCATTCTGTTGGTTGCCAGTTCACTCTAATGATTTTTTCTTTTGCTGTGCAGAAGCTCTTAAGTTTAATTAGATCCCATTTGTCTATTTTGGCTTTTGGTGTTTTAGTCATGAAGTTCTTGCCTATGCCTATGTCCTGAATGGTATTGCCTATGTTTTCTTCTAGGGTTTTTATGGTGTTAGGTCTTATATTTAAATTTTTAATCCATGTGGAGTTAATTTTTGTGTAAGGTGTAAGGAATGAGTCCAGTTTCTGCTTTCTGCACATGGTCAGCCAGTTTTCCCAACACCATTTATTAAACAGGGAATCCTTTCCCCATTGCTTGTTTTTGTTAGGTTTGTCAAAGATCAGATGGTTGTAGGTGTGTGGTATTGCCTACGAGGCCTCTGTTCTGTTCCATTGGTCTATATCTCTGTTTTGGTACCAGTACTATTCCTTTTGAAAACTGGCACTAGACAAGGGTGCCCTCTTTTACCATTTCTATTCAACATAGTATTGGAAGTTCTAGCCAGAGCAATCAGGCAAGAAAAAAAATAAATAAAGGGTATTTAATTAGGAAAAGAGGAAGTCAAATTGTCTCTGTTTGCAGACGACATGATTTTATATTTAGAAGACCCCATCTTCTTGGTCTCAGCCCAAAATCTCCTTAAGATAATAAGCAACTTCAGCAAAGTCTCAGGATACAAAATCAATGTGCAAAAATCACAAACATTCCTATACACCAATAACAGACAAACAGAGAGCCAAATATTGAGCAAACTCCCATTTACAATTGCTACAAAGAGAATAAAATACCTAGGAATACAACTAACAAAGGATGTGAAGGACCTCTTCAAGGAGAACTATAAACCACTGCTCAAGGAAATAAGAGAGGACACAAACAGATGGAAAAACACTCCATGCTCATGGTTAGGAAGAATCAAAGTCGTGAAAATGGCCATACTGCCCAAAGTAATTTATGGATTCAATGCTATCCCCATCAAGCTACCATTGACCTTCTTCACACAACTGGAAAAAACCACCTTAAACTTCATAAGGAACCAAAGGAGAGCCTGCATAGCCAAGACAATCCCAAGCAAAAAGAACAAAGCTGGAGGCATCACACTACTTGACTTCAAACTATACTATAAGGCTACAGTAATTTTTGTATTTTTTAGTAGAGCCAGGGTTTCACCATGTTGGCCAGGCTGGTCTCGAACTCCTGACCTCAAGTGAACGCCCCCCCCCCCCCCGGCTCCCAACGTGCTGGGATTACTGGTGTGAGCCATGACATGCTGCGTGTATCTGGCCTAGCTTCCTTTACTTCTTTACTTCTTCCCTTACTACTCTTTCCCCATGCCTGCTACACCAGAGCCACCCAGACCTTAATTATTTTTTTTCTAATATACCAAGCTCATTCCCACCTTAGGGTCTTTGCATCTGCTGTTTCCTCTTTCCAGAACACTCCACACACATACTCCTTGCTCTACATTATAGCTGGCTGCTTCTTCTCCCTCAGTTTTCAGCTTTTTTTTTTTTTTTCTTTTTTCTTTTTTTTTGAGATGGAGTTTCGCTCCTGTTACCCAGGCTGGAGTGCAATGGCATGATCTCAGCTCACCGCAACCTCCGCCTCCTGGGTTCAGGCAATTCTCCTGCCTCAGCCTCCCGAGTAGCTGGGATTACAGGCACGTGCCACCATGCCCAACTAATTTTTTGTATCTTTAGTAGAGACGGGGTTTCACCATGTTGACCAGGATGGTCTCGATCTCTTGACCTCGTGATCCACCCGCCTCCGCCTCCCAAAGTGCTGGGATTACAGGCGTGAGCCACCGTGCCCGGCCCAGTTTTCAGCTTAAAAGTCACTTCCTGAGAGGTCTTCCCTGATTTCTGCAGCTAAGGAATCCTGCCTCTCCTACCACCATTATTCTCTGTTATTTCATCTTTCTTTTTCTTTACAGCATCTGCTCCAACTTGTAATTATAGACTCCTTTGTTTACTTGCTGATTGGCTTTTTCTTCCCGGGCTCTATGAACCCCATGAGGGCAGGAACTATCTGTTTCTTTCCTCTGGCACCTAGCATAGGGCTCTCCGTATTTAAGGAAGGAGTGAACAGATAACTGAAGTCAGGTTGGAAGCCAGGGTCCCTCCACTCTATTTATGTAGCTGCCTCCTTGCACAGAAGGCTGGACCCCAACTGGGACAGGATCTGATTTCCAGGGAGGGCTGGAACCACCCCCCAACCCCTTCCCCACCCCACCCCCACCCCCGCAAGTGTTCCCAGCCCTGGGCCCTGGGTGCCAGGTAATTTGGCCTAGGTATCAGGGAGGGGCAAGAATCCAGCCTCCCTGCTGCCCAGCTTGGGGGATCCCTGTCTCTTCCCAGTCGGGCACCACTGCTTCCACCTGTCCTGGGGTACGTGGGGAAAATGGGGAGCCGTGAGTAGTGCTGGCCAGTCGGGGGTTGTGTGGCAGGGGCGGAGCAGGGGAAGCGCTGCATAGTCCCTCCTGGAGAGTGGGCAGGGCCAGGTGGGAGGTGCCCAGACCGACCCCGGGTGCTTTTGTTCAGACCCAGACTCCTTCCTGAAGTCGGCGCGGCTGCAGCGGCTGCCTTCGTCGTCTTCGGAGATGGGCAGCCAAGACGGGTCACCGCTACGCGAGACGCGCAAAGACCCGTTCTCCGCGGCAGCGGCCGAGTGCTCCTGCCGCCAGGACGGGCTCACGGTCATCGTCACAGCCTGCCTCACCTTCGCCACCGGTGTCACCGTGGCGCTGGTCATGCAGATCTACTTCGGGGACCCCCAGGTGAGGGGGACAAATGGGGAGGGGGAGGGAACTGGCTAGGAGAGAGTAGGGTAATGTTTGAGGGGCTGTGGAAACTGAGGAATGACTGAGAGGTGGAAGGGGAGAGGGTAGTAACTTGGGAGAGGAAGGTCCCAAAGAGAGGAGCTCCAGCGCCTGAAGGGGAGGGAACAAGGAAGGGACTCGATCCATTAGAAGGCACTTGGGGTAATGAGAGGAGAGTCAAGAGGAAAAGAAGGCAGGGCTTCGACCCTACCCCCTGTACAGTTCTAGGGCTAGTGGAGGTGCCCTAGGGAGGTGGACAGCTACTCCTGCCCCCCACCAAGTCCTCTCTCCCCTCCCAGATCTTCCAGCAGGGTGCTGTGGTGACGGATGCTGCTCGCTGCACTTCACTGGGCATCGAGGTGCTCAATAAACAGGGATCTTCTGTGGATGCAGCTGTGGCAGCAGCCTTGTGTTTGGGAATCGTGGCTCCGCACAGTTCTGGCCTGGGCGGGTAAGGAGCAGTGGAGATCCGGGGTCCACCATGCCTACTTCTTGCCTCCTGGTCTGTAGGCCTGTGAAGCACTCCTAACTTAGGAAGAAGGGCAGTTGGGCCCCAACTCCTTGCATTTTCTCTTTCTACACCAAATTTCACCCCCTTCTCCCTGGATGGAGTCAGAAGAGCAAAGCTACCTAATGGAAAACTTGAAAGTGTTTTCAGAAGCTTTAAAAAAAAAAAATGGAAAGAAACTTGTAAACCATAAATTGAGGTGCACAGGTGGAGGTATACTGTCATCAATTAAGGCAATGATACTTAAACTTTTAGGATAACAAATCCCTGTGGGTCTGATAAAAAGCATTGGACCATCTATCCTCCAAAAATAAGCCACGTTAAGAACTCTTAAAAACAGAAGTTACAAACTGCCCACCCATGGGCAACACCTGGCACACAGACTGGTTTGGTTTGGACACTGAACTGTCTTAAACTTTTGGTTGCTCTTGTTAAAAAGTTGAGAATTTTCATAAAAATCCAGATTTCCAACATCTCTTGAACAATCGGAAGATCTGGTAAGAACTTGGGCCCACATTGTCACGTGGCTGAAATTATCTGGAGTGGAATAGAAGCTGCTTCCCATGATGGGGCATGCACTATCCAGTTTGCTCTTGTTTCTCTGTCCTGCTTTCCTTATTTTGTCATTTAGCTGTGGGCATTTTAGGTGTAAATAAGCCACAGAAAAGGAACAAGCTGACTAAGTTACCTATCTTGGTTCCTGTAAGACCAGCCCTCCAAGCTGTACCAAAGACATTCCGCTTTGGTTTTGCATGTTTTATCCTTACATAATCCAGTCCTGGGGGAGGGGCAAGGGACATAGCAAGTAGGCAGGTGCAGGAAGCTGGCAGGGATCCAGCTCTGGTCCAGGGTGGGAGCATGGGGCAGAACATCCTGTTCTCCCAGTCTCTGGGCTTTTCCTAAACAGGGATTAAAGTCTCCAGTGACAGGCTGGAAGAAGTCCATGGACCCTGAGTCTCCAACCCCCTTGATTTCACTCCCATCCTCTTAGGGTGGCTGAGTCTATGAATCCATGCTGGGGAGGGGACTCAGACACCTGACCCCAAATGACAAACCAAGCCTACATCTCTCACCACTGAGGATGGAGGGGCAGCAGGTTAATTGTACAGAGGGGTAGCATGTTACCATCACCCTTCCCCTTCTGTGTTTCTCCCAGTGGGGGCGTGATGCTGGTACATGACATCCGTCGAAATGAGAGCCACCTAATTGATTTCCGGGAGTCCGCACCGGGGGCCCTCAGGGAAGAGACCCTGCAAAGATCCTGGGAGACCAAGGTGGGGACCCTGGTGAGAAGAGAAATTTCAGGGGAATCTCTCTTCATTGCCCTTCTGCTAACCCAGGCATTAATTTGCTGAGTATTTACCATGTGAGTGGGAAAAAGAGTTGAGCAGGATTCTCTTGGGCTATGTGTAAGACAGGCAGCCCCCAAAATAAAATAATGAACCAGAAAATGTGGATGGTTGATTACAGGTAATACTGCAACACCTTACTTCTCTGGCAGTCTTACCTGTCTGGCTGAGGTAAGGAAGGAAGAAAAAAGCCTACTGAGTACCCTGAAATGTCACAAAGTTGATGTAATAAAACTCACACATCTCACTCTGAGCCAGTTGACTGTAACTTTCCCAGCCCCTCACATATTGGAAGATTAGAGGGGAACTGCTAGAGGCAAACCAACTGTCTGCTGAGAGAAAAAGAAGAAATTGAATAACTTGGAAAACTGGGTACTTAGTGCAGTGACAAAAGCCAAGCACACCCCCGAGTCTTGAGAGCTCAGAGTAATGATGGTGTGAAACTGAATAGGTTAAATGAAGGTTCCTTGTTCAACATTTTAAAAGGCAGGGTTGCCTGGGCACGGTGGCTTATACCTGTAATCCCAGCACTTTGGGAAGCCAAGGCAGGAGGATTGCTTGAGGCCAGGAGCTTGAGACCAGCCTGAGCAACATAGTGAGACTTTATCTCTACAAAACATGTTTTGAAATTAGCCAGGCATGGTAGCATGTGCCAAGGATCACTTGACTTGAGCCCAGGAGTTGGAGGCCACAGTGAGCTATGACCATGGCTCTATCCAGCCTGGGTGACAGAACAAAACCCTGTCTCAAAAAAAAAAAAAAAGGGGCAGGGGTTGGTAAAATCCAATGTAGACAAGTGTCTGTCTAAACTGGTTACATCCTGGCTCTTGAAAGGTTTTGCTTAATTTATAAATCTCTCAACTATGGCAGCTAAAAGAGGCCTTTCTGCATTTGCTGATAGGAAGTCAGGGAGATGGGAGGGCTGCCTGCTTGGGAAAGCTTGTCCCTCCCTTGGGATACTTGCCCTGTGTCTCTCCCCTGTGCCAGCCATCCCTGGCTTGGGGCTCTGCGGAGTTCAGCCCAGCCCCCCCCTTCCAGTGACCTGGTCTCCTCTCTCCCTCGCCTGCCCGCCTTGCCCAGCCTGGGCTCTTGGTGGGGGTTCCCGGAATGGTGAAGGGGCTACATGAAGCTCACCAGCTCTATGGCAGGTAACAACCCTCCCCCTGGGGACCAGGGACCCCTGTTTGTATCTCTCCTTGGGTGGCCTTCTCCTACTTCCCTGGATTCTTCCTTTCCAAACTCCCCCTCCTAATATCCCCTTCCCTTGCCAGGACTCTCCTTCCCAGGAACCCCCCTCCCCCCAGGACCCCTCCTCCTTCCCCCAGGACCTCCTCCACCCCCTGCTCTCCGGCCCCCCCCAGGCTGCCATGGTCCCAAGTCCTGGCCTTCGCAGCAGCTGTGGCCCAAGATGGCTTCAACGTGACTCATGATCTAGGTCAGTGGGGCCTGGGGATTTGGGAGAGACTTGAGGTTGACAGAGAGAGGTAGAATCTTGAGTTTTGGGAGCCCAAGCCAAAGAGGACCTCTATTCCAGTTTGCTCCTCAGACCCCCTTCCCACCTTATCCCACCCTCACCTGGAGGTGGCCTCAAAGGAGGGGGGGTCTGGGAAGGGCCCTTAGACATCCCTGCCTCCCCCTTAAGAGGCTCCTGGGGGGCCGGGACACATAGGGCGGACCACTCAGCTCCCATCTACCCCACCTATTGCACGTCTCATCTGGTCCAGTCCTGGCGCCCCGCCCTGCCCAGCCTCCCATCCCTGCCCCTAGCCCGTGCCCTGGCTGAACAGCTGCCACCCAACATGTCCGAGCACTTCCAAGAGACATTCCTGCCATTGGGCCGCCCGCCACTACCTGGCTCGCTGCTGCGTCGGCCCGACCTGGCTGAGGTGCTGGATACACTTGGCACCTCTGGCCCGGCCGCCTTCTACGCTGGCGGCAACCTCACTCTGGAGATGGTAGCCGAGGTGAGTGCAAGCATTGTACAGGTGGGGGCGTGCCCCAAGGTCCCTATTGCAGGACATCCTCATCCCCTTTTTTTCCTTCCTTCCTTTCCTCCCTTTCTTTCTATACATATTTACTGTGGATTATGTTCATTTGAAATTCTAGAATAGTCAAAACTAACCTCTATCAACAGTAATCAGATCAGTGGTTGGTGGGGCCAGGAGGAGTTGACTGGGCTATGACATGAAAAACCTCCTGGGATGATAAAAGTGTTCTTTTTTTTTTTTTTTTTTCAAATGGCGTTTCGCTTTGTCACCCAGGGTGGAGTGCAGTGTTGCCATGTTGGCTCACTGCAACCTCTGCCTCCCAGGTTCAAGTGATCCTCCTGCCTCAGCCTCCCAAGTAACTGGGATTACAGGTGTGCACCAACAAGCCCAGCTGATTTTGTATTTTTAGTAGAGACAGGGTTTCACCATGTTGGCCAGGCTTGTCTCGAACTCCTGACATCAAGTGATCTACCCGTCTTGGCCTCCCAAAGTGCTGGGACTGTAAGTGTGAGCCACCGTGCCTGGCCAGAAGTATTCTATCTTGATTCAGAGATACCTTTGGGCTTCTCAGGGGTGATGCCAACCTGTGTAGGGGCTTATCATGTCCCTTCCAGGCGTGGTGGAGACCAAGTATCAGCCTCAGCTTCCCTAAGCTCACAATTCCTCCCAGCTCTCAGGTTTTCTAGGGACTGAGGGAAGCACCTCTTTCACTGTTGACTACCAGAACTGGGGAGACTGACACAGAAGGTTACCATCCAACCCCAAAGAGTCCCAGTCTCAGGCAGTAACAGGTGTGAGAACTGTCATTAATAGTGCAAAACGCGTAAGGAAAAATTATGTTCAAGATAAGGATGCATAGACCAACTCAGTGGTTCTCTCATTTGACCAATGGGGATGATTATATCTGTCTCTGCCATATGGTTGTGAGAATTAAATGGGTCTGTTATTCATTCAACTTTCACAAAGTGCCAACTCTGTGCCAGGCCCTATGCTGGGCACGGGATGTGCCAATAGACTCAAACAGACTGGAAGGTCCAGGAGATTACTGACTTGAGATTCTTCTGGGTCCAGGTTCTCAATCCATAGTGTTTGGATTTGCTCCTCCCTCTTTCTCTTTCTCTCTCTCTCTCCACTCAAACAGACTGGAAGGTCCAGGAGATTACTGACTTGAGATTCTTCTGGGTCCAGGTTCTCAATCCATAGTGTTTGGATTTGCTCTCCCTCTTTCTCTTTCTCTCTCTCTCTCCACTCAAACAGACTGGAAGGTCCAGGAGATTACTGACTTGAGATTCTTCTGGGTCCAGGTTCTCAATCCATAGTGTTTGGATTTGCTCTCCCTCTTTCTCTTTCTCTCTCTCTCTCCACTCAAACAGACTGGAAGGTCCAGGAGATTACTGACTTGAGATTCTTCTGGGTCCAGGTTCTCAATCCATAGTGTTTGGATTTGCTCTCCCTCTTTCTCTTTCTCTCTCTCTGTCCACTCAAACAGACTGGAAGGTCCAGGAGATTACTGACTTGAGATTCTTCTGGGTCCAGGTTCTCAATCCATAGTGTTTGGATTTGCTCTCCCTCTTTCTCTTTCTCTCTGTCTCTCCACTCAAACAGACTGGAAGGTCCAGGAGATTACTGACTTGAGATTCTTCTGGGTCCAGGTTCTCAATCCATAGTGTTTGGATTTGCTCTCCCTCTTTCTCTTTCTCTCTCTCTCTCTCCACTCAAACAGACTGGAAGGTCCAGGAGATTACTGACTTGAGATTCTTCTGGGTCCAGGTTCTCAATCCATAGTGTTTGGATTTGCTCTCCCTCTTTCTCTTTCTCTCTCTCTCTCCACTCAAACAGACTGGAAGGTCCAGGAGATTACTGACTTGAGATTCTTCTGGGTCCAGGTTCTCAATCCATAGTGTTTGGATTTGCTCTCCCTCTTTCTCTTTCTCTCTGTCTCTCCACTCAAACAGACTGGAAGGTCCAGGAGATTACTGACTTGAGATTCTTCTGGGTCCAGGTTCTCAATCCATAGTGTTTGGATTTGCTCTCCCTCTTTCTCTTTCTCTCTGTCTCTCCACTCAAACAGACTGGAAGGTCCAGGAGATTACTGACTTGAGATTCTTCTGGGTCCAGGTTCTCAATCCATAGTGTTTGGATTTGCTCTCCCTCTTTCTCTTTCTCTCTCTCTCTCCACTCAAACAGACTGGAAGGTCCAGGAGATTACTGACTTGAGATTCTTCTGGGTCCAGGTTCTCAATCCATAGTGTTTGGATTTGCTCTCCCTCTTTCTCTTTCTCTCTGTCTCTCCACTCAAACAGACTGGAAGGTCCAGGAGATTACTGACTTGAGATTCTTCTGGGTCCAGGTTCTCAATCCATAGTGTTTGGATTTGCTCTCCCTCTTTCTCTTTCTCTCTCTCTCTCCACTCAAACAGACTGGAAGGTCCAGGAGATTACTGACTTGAGATTCTTCTGGGTCCAGGTTCTCAATCCATAGTGTTTGGATTTGCTCTCCCTCTTTCTCTTTCTCTCTGTCTCTCCACTCAAACAGACTGGAAGGTCCAGGAGATTACTGACTTGAGATTCTTCTGGGTCCAGGTTCTCAATCCATAGTGTTTGGATTTGCTCTCCCTCTTTCTCTTTCTCTCTGTCTCTCCACTCAAACAGACTGGAAGGTCCAGGAGATTACTGACTTGAGATTCTTCTGGGTCCAGGTTCTCAATCCATAGTGTTTGGATTTGCTCTCCCTCTTTCTCTTTCTCTCTCTCTCTCCACTCAAACAGACTGGAAGGTCCAGGAGATTACTGACTTGAGATTCTTCTGGGTCCAGGTTCTCAATCCATAGTGTTTGGATTTGCTCTCCCTCTTTCTCTTTCTCTCTGTCTCTCCACTCAAACAGACTGGAAGGTCCAGGAGATTACTGACTTGAGATTCTTCTGGGTCCAGGTTCTCAATCCATAGTGTTTGGATTTGCTCTCCCTCTTTCTCTTTCTCTCTGTCTCTCCACTCAAACAGACTGGAAGGTCCAGGAGATTACTGACTTGAGATTCTTCTGGGTCCAGGTTCTCAATCCATAGTGTTTGGATTTGCTCTCCCTCTTTCTCTTTCTCTCTCTCTCTCCACTCAAACAGACTGGAAGGTCCAGGAGATTACTGACTTGAGATTCTTCTGGGTCCAGGTTCTCAATCCATAGTGTTTGGATTTGCTCTCCCTCTTTCTCTTTCTCTCTCTCTCTCCACTCAAACAGACTGGAAGGTCCAGGAGATTACTGACTTGAGATTCTTCTGGGTCCAGGTTCTCAATCCATAGTGTTTGGATTTGCTCTCCCTCTTTCTCTTTCTCTCTCTCTCTCCACTCAAACAGACTGGAAGGTCCAGGAGATTACTGACTTGAGATTCTTCTGGGTCCAGGTTCTCAATCCATAGTGTTTGGATTTGCTCTCCCTCTTTCTCTTTCTCTCTCTCTCTCCACTCAAACAGACTGGAAGGTCCAGGAGATTACTGACTTGAGATTCTTCTGGGTCCAGGTTCTCAATCCATAGTGTTTGGATTTGCTCTCCCTCTTTCTCTTTCTCTCTCTCTCTCCACTCAAACAGACTGGAAGGTCCAGGAGATTACTGACTTGAGATTCTTCTGGGTCCAGGTTCTCAATCCATAGTGTTTGGATTTGCTCTCCCTCTTTCTCTTTCTCTCTCTCTCTCCACTCAAACAGACTGGAAGGTCCAGGAGATTACTGACTTGAGATTCTTCTGGGTCCAGGTTCTCAATCCATAGTGTTTGGATTTGCTCTCCCTCTTTCTCTTTCTCTCTGTCTCTCCACTCAAACAGACTGGAAGGTCCAGGAGATTACTGACTTGAGATTCTTCTGGGTCCAGGTTCTCAATCCATAGTGTTTGGATTTGCTCTCCCTCTTTCTCTTTCTCTCTGTCTCTCCACTCAAACAGACTGGAAGGTCCAGGAGATTACTGACTTGAGATTCTTCTGGGTCCAGGTTCTCAATCCATAGTGTTTGGATTTGCTCTCCCTCTTTCTCTTTCTCTCTCTCTCTCCACTCAAACAGACTGGAAGGTCCAGGAGATTACTGACTTGAGATTCTTCTGGGTCCAGGTTCTCAATCCATAGTGTTTGGATTTGCTCTCCCTCTTTCTCTTTCTCTCTCTCTCTCCACTCAAACAGACTGGAAGGTCCAGGAGATTACTGACTTGAGATTCTTCTGGGTCCAGGTTCTCAATCCATAGTGTTTGGATTTGCTCTCCCTCTTTCTCTTTCTCTCTGTCTCTCCACTCTACCTTCCTCCGTTTGGATTCACTCTCAGATCCTTTCCACCTGCTCCCCACCAGCCCATGTCAGGCCATCCTTCCAGCAAGGCACTCCAGAGAAAGAGCATTTCTCCTTCCCGGTAGTTCCAGCAAAAGACTCCAGGTTGTGTCTTATTGGCTCCTCATAGGTCTCATAACTATTCCCAAACCAATCACTGTAGCACAGAAGGCAATGCCCCAATTGGCCAGGCCTGGGTTGTGTGCCCTTTCCTGGAGGTGGCAAAGGGAACACAGGAGATTCTAACAAAGACCATCAGATCTCTGACAAAAAGAAACCCAAAGTTGAGTTTATTAACTTGCCAGACAAAGGAACTCAAGAATTCAAATGGGCCAGCCATGGTGGCTAACCCCTGTAATCCCAGCACTTTGGGAGGCCAAGGCAGGCAGATCCTTGAGCCCAAGAGTTTGAGACCAGCCTGAACAACATAGTGAGCCCCCATCTCTACAAAACATACAAAACTACCCGGCTGTGGTGGCACGTGCCTGTAGTTCCAGCTACTCAGGAGGCTGAGGCAGGAGGATCTTCTGAGCCTGGGAAGGTTGAGGCTGCAGTGAGCCATAATCATGCCCCTGCATTCCAGCCTGGGTGGCAGAGTGAGACCCTGTCTCGAAAAAAAAAAAAAAAATTTAATATGTAATTCACTGAAGGTAGATAAATCAGGGGTTTCAAGTACTATGAAGTACAAAAAAGGAAAGGATTCAGAGTGGTTATGCTCATTTAGAGTTGACAGTACACTGGATAGGATAGAATGAGCCCGTTGGTTGTACAAGACTGGTTCACTGGTCAATAATGAGTGCTTGTTTATGTCCAGTAAGGATCAGTCCTTCCAGGATCACTGAAAGTCACGGTTTTGTAGTGGCTTTAGTTGGTTGTGGTGAGATGCAGCATTCAGTTTTGATATCTCCTAGGCAAGTGCTGCTGTAAGTGGAAAATCTTCCTTTTACATAGGCAGAGAGAGCAGCAGGTACAAAGACTGCAAAGACACAAAGGCATGAGTTCAGGAACTGCAGGTCACTCTGCAGTTGTATAGAGCTCACTGGGGAATAGCAGGACATGAGGGGAGGGGTAGGCAGGGGCCAGATCACAAAAGGCCTTGAATGGCAAACTAGGAAGGTCATTAATAGAATGTACCCAGTATAATGCCTGGCACGTAATAGGTGCTAGGTGCTCTGTGTTAGTGCTTTTCCCCCTTCCTTTTTCCTGGGGTGTTTAGGGATAATGGGGTCTCTAAAGGCTACGATGGGGGTTGCAGAAGACACAGAAGTTATAAACAGCTGATCTGTCCGTGATCCAAATATGTATTATAGGCTAAAACCACATGCTCACAATGGTGGGCGGTCATTCTCTCATTCTCTCCCCTCCAGGCTCAGCATGCAGGGGGTGTCATAACCGAAGAGGACTTCAGCAATTACAGCGCCCTTGTGGAGAAGCCTGTGTGTGGCGTGTACAGAGGTGACCTCTCCCCCGGCTCCCAGGGTCCCCACTCAGGAGAAGCCTCCCAGGCCATGGCCACATCATTTTGGCCTAGAGACTCCTCTCCATTTCACAGGAGAGAAACTAAGGCAGTGAGCTGCCTGGGCAGCCAACTGTTGAAGCAAGCCAGAGCCAGCCCACCTGCTGAAAAGTAGCTGTGGGATCAGTTACCCCAAGTATTTAGGATATGGGTGGTGGACCTGGTCAAAGGCTCCAACCTGGAAGTTGGGGTTCTGGCCATAGGTTTTCTTGATTTGGGCTCCGTGTTGCCTCTGCCCTCTCCCTAGCCACACTGTCACTGCCCTGTACTGCCTAAGTATTTTTAAGACAAAGACCTTCCAAGCTTAATGGTAGAACAAACCCTTCAAGACATTCATAGACCCGGCTCCCCATTGTGCCAAAAGGAAATCGAGGCCCGAGGAGGGAGTAGAACTTAACTGGCCAAACTCAAGAAAACCAACAGGGAACCCAAAGAGCCAAGCTTGTGGCCTGGGTGAGGTCCATGGTTGCTGAACCCAAGGTAGTAGGTGCTGGATTTCTCAGATGGTTCTCAGGCTCTTTCCCTTCTGGGAGAGCCAGATCACATCAAGTCCCAGTAAAGGGTTTCTCTGAGTTCAAGTTTCTAGGCCTCGATTTCCAAATGGATTCCTCTGCCAGAAGCAGTGGAATATGAAGCAATGGAAAGAGCATTATCAGCCAGGCGTGATGGTTCAGGCCTGTAACCCCAGCACTTTGGGAGGCCGAGGAAGGAGGATCGCCTGAGCCCAGGAGTTCATGACCAGCCTGGGCAAGATAGTGAGACACAGTCTCAATAAAAAATTTAAAAGTTAGCCAGGCATAGTGGTATGCCTGAAAGGTCCAGGCTGCAAGCATGATTGTGCCACTGCACTCCAGCCTGGGTGACAGAGTGAGACCATATCTCTCTCTCTCTCACACACACACACACACACACGCATAAACAAAAATGAATAAAAAGAAAAAAGGAACAAGCGTAGCATTAGAGTTAGGGTTTGAGTACCAACTGTGCCATTTGCCTTGAACAAGCAAATGTTCAAGGCTCTGAGCCTTGGTTTCCTCCTTAAAATGGAGATAATAATAGTACCTGCATCTTAGGATGCCCATAAGGATTTGATGAGATAATGTAGGAAGTTGCCCTGATCAGAGCAGGCATTGAATATGGATTTTCCATTTCCCCTTCCCAGCCTGGGCTGTCTCAACAATGCTAGTACCTTGTCCCTCTGTACCACAGTTTCCAGACCCATCAAATACGTGTGATAACAGTAGCCACTGTGAGGACTAAGTGAGTGAATTCATATTAGTGTTAAGCATCAGTGATTATTATTCCTTTGATGTCCAAACACCTAGTAACAGAATAGGAAGAGAAGGTTGCTGCTGCCAAGACGTTTGGGGCTGGATGAGACTATCAGAGGTTGTGGATAGTATCCTGGCCTATGGGAGAGCTGAAAAGAGACATGTGACAGGCCAGGAATAGGGACATCTGGTCACCTGTTTCTGCTCTGCTCTGCTGATGGCCTGCAGTTTGACTCCGGGCAAGCTACAGCACTCTTGAGCCTTAGTTTTTTCAAATGGCCACGGAAGCTAGAGACCGATGTTCTGAGTTCAAATCCTGGCCCTGCCCTTGACTTACCATGTGAACCTGAGTGGGTCCCTTTGCCTCTCAATGCTTCGGTTTCCCCTTCTGGTGAAGGGGTTCAGTGCAGTGGTCTCAGTGTGTGTGATGGTGGGATGTGGAGATGGGATGTAGGATGTGAAGGTGCCTTGACCCCTCCCCTGCCATCGGTCACTTCCTATCCTTTCAGGCCACCTGGTTCTCAGTCCCCCACCCCCGCACACGGGCCCTGCCCTCATCAGTGCTCTCAACATCCTGGAGGGCTTCAATCTCACCAGTCTGGTATCCCGAGAACAGGCTCTTCACTGGGTGGCAGAGGTAAGGCTGACCCCTACACCTTTCCCTGGATTTAGGGACATTAGGAGTGGGGAGATTGAGTACTGTCATAGGGCAGGACTAAATCACCTACAGGTTTTCTCACATGAAGATCTACTGGGTGTGGGTACTGGGAGGGGCCTGACAGCCTATTTCATATCCCTGCTGTATTTTCAGACCCTGAAGATTGCGTTAGCCCTGGCCAGCAGACTGGGAGATCCCATCTATGATTCTACCATCACTGAGAGCATGGATGACATGCTCAGGTGGGTCTTGGGCAGGACCTGGGAGCTGCAGAGGCAGTGGTGGTTGTGGGGAAAGGATCAGGTGAAAAGCAGCTGGTGTAGCAATAAAGGCCTGAATTCCTAAGTCAATTTCAGCTCAACCCCCAACTCACAACTTGACACTGGGTGCCTCTCCCTGCACCTCACCTTTCCAACAGCACAATGAGTTGGCCTTCTTCATGTGGCTCTTAAATTTTTTTGAGGCTAGTATAACACGTATATGAGCCCATCTGCTCCTCCTTTTGAGTGTGAAAAGAAAGCTTAATACCAAAGTCCTGGCACAGTGGCTCACACCTGTAATCCAGCACTTTGGGAGGCCGAGTCAGGTGGATCACCTTGGGTCAGGAGTTTGTTAGCAGCCTGACCAACATAATGAAACCCTGTCTCTACTAAAAATACAAAAATTAGCCAGCCATATTGGCACATGCCTGTAGTCCCAGCTACTCGGGAGGCTGAGGCAGGAGAATCACTTGAACCCAGGAAGCGGAGGTTGCAGTGAGCCAAGACCATGCCACTGCACTCCAGCCTGGGTAATAGAGTGAGACTTTGTCTCCAAAAACAAAGACAGTCTCCAAGCAAATACTGAAGGTGGTGGGAATACAGCTTCATTAGCAACATAATATAGTAGTAGGTTGTAGGCTCTGGTGAGACTGCCTCCATTCAAATCCCAGCTTTACCCTTTGCTAGCTTTGCAGCCTTGGGCAAGTAAATCTAAATCTCAGTTTCTACAAGGGGGCTTGACAATAATGGTATCAACCTCATGAGGCTGTGGTGAGGACTAAACAAAGTCATACATGTAAAGTCTTTTTTTGGTTGAAAATTGAATAAATGTCTTCAAGTTATCCTTGGTAACTTATCATTCTCTAATCAACTATGGATAACCGAACACACAGTTATTTGAATTTTTAAAATTCTGAAGAATTACATGTTGTTTCTAAGATCAATGCAAACTTTGTTCTAAAACACACACATGCATGCCTATATCAAATCTATTCAGCCAGGCGCGGTGGCTCACGCCTGTAATCCCAGTATTTTGGGAGGCCAAGGCGGGTGGATCACAAGGCCAAGAGATCGAGACTATCCTGGTCAACATTGTGAAACCCCGTCTCTACTAAAAATACAAAAAATTAGCTGGGCATGGTGGCACATGCCTGTAATCCCAGCTACTCAGGAGGCTGAGGCAGGAGAATTGCCTGAACCCAGGAGGCGGAGGTTGCGGTGAGCCGAGATCGCACCATTGCACTCCAGCCTGGGTAACAAGAGCGAAACTCCGTCTCAAAAAGAAAAAAAGAAATCTATTCAACCAGTTCCTCCAGTAAATAGTTATTGAGCACTTACTCTGTGCCTTGGGACACAATTTTAATAGAAAGTAAAGATCCTGGCTGGTTGTGGTGGCTCATGACTGTAATCTAGGCACTTTGAGAGGCCAACGCAGGTGGATCATTTGAGGTCAAGAGTTCAAGACCAACCTGGCCAACATAGTGAAACCCCATCTCAACTAAAATTACAAAAAAAAAAAAAAATTAGCCAGGCATGGTGGTGGGTGCCTATAATCCAAGCTACTCAGGAGGCTGTGGCAGGAGAATCTCTTGAACCTGGGAGGCAGAGGTTGCAGTGAGCCAAGATCGCGCCATTGCACTCCAGCCTTGGTAACAAGAGTGAAACTCCGTCTAAAAAAAAAAAAAAAAAAAAACTTTAGACAACAAACATTAGTTTACATGAATCCAGGTTGTTAATTCAAAACAAATATTTTTTGATCATCCACTATGCACCAGTCACTTTCGTAGAAAAGATTAAGAAGTAAAGGTAGATAACTAAAAGGCTCTTGATTTAAACATTAAATAAATTAAATGTTGGTTCCAGAAGAGAATCTAAATAACACCTAAATAAATTCATTCCTTTCAACAGCTATTCTCTGGGTATTTCTCATGTGCTAGCAATTAATGAGCTTCTGTACTCATAGACTTAGTAGTACAGTGGGGGAGATAGATTTCATCAAATAATTACACAAACACCACAAAAGTAAGGTAGGTGAGCATATTGAGGGCCTGTTGTTTGCTCATCTCCCACTTCTTGTCTTTTCAGCAAGGTGGAGGCTGCCTACCTCCGGGGCCATATCAATGACTCCCAGGCAGCCCCTGCCCCGCTCCTGCCTGTCTATGAGCTAGACGGAGCTCCCACAGCTGCCCAGGTGCTGATCATGGGACCTGATGACTTCATTGTGGCCATGGTTAGGTATGCCATCTCAGACTCAGAATCTGAAACAAGGGATCCTCTGAACCAAGAGGGGGTGGGGGCTGGGTAGAGGTGAAGATGGGCCAGGGCTCACCTGGCCCCACCTCGGCCCCCAGCTCCCTGAACCAGCCCTTTGGCAGCGGCCTTATCACCCCCTCGGGGATCCTGCTCAACAGCCAGATGCTAGACTTCTCATGGCCCAACCGGACAGCTAACCACTCTGCGCCTAGCCTGGTAGGATTTGCTTGCTTCACCCCTCCCCTGGGGACCCTGAGGCTTATAGGTAGGAGGTACAATGGCATGGCTGCCCCTTCCCCCTACTTTCTCCAGAATTTTCTAGTATAAGGAAGCCTAAAGAAGATGTTCACCTCATCCCTAGCCCTGCTAAGTCTGGGATGGGGACCCCAGTGGATCTGAAGAAGCTTTGTCTCATTCTATCACTGACTGTGTGACCTCATGAAGATCTTGCCCTCTCTGGGTAATTTCTTTACCTGTACAATGAGGATATTGGCTCCTATTTGATGTTTTGGGCACTTACCAACACTAGTGGTCTATGACCATGTGAGCTTGAGCTGATGAGGCTCAGCCCAATGGCTGGGCACCAAAGAGCAGCGACCCAAGGAGGAAGGATTTCATTTTTTTTTTTTGAGGCGGAGTCTCACTCAGTTGCTCAAGCTTGAGTGTAGTGGTGCGATCTCAGCTCACTGCAACCTCTTCCTCCTGGGTTCAAGCAATTCTCCTGCCTCAGCCTCCCAGTAGCTGGGATTACAGGTGCCCGCCACCACGTCCAGCTAATTTTTTTGGATTTTTAGTAGAGACAGGTTTCACCATGTTGGCCAGGCTGGTCTCGAACCCCTGACCTCAAATGATTCATCCACTTTGGCCTCTCAAAGTGCTGGGATGATGGGTGTGAGCCACCGCATCTAGCCAGATTTAATAATTTTTATCTAGTTAGAAATCAGCACTCTTACACCCCACAAGCTAGGGCCCCAAAAGGGCAAAGATGCATGAGATGATCAGAGTGGGGTTATCCTGTTCTTCCCCATTGCCATCTTTCTTGGCTTGGTCCTTTCATCTGTGACCATAGCAGCCTCATAGCTCAGTGGATGCACTTACCACTCCCTCATCCACCCCACCCATCCAGGCACCCTACCCATTTCACAGACAGCAAACTGTTGTCTGGGAAGGGACCAGTCTCCCAGGAATACTGGGACTGTGGAAAATGTGGAAGAGGGAGAGCAGCTGGAAGGGTTGTGGAGTGGCCCTTTCCCTGTCTTGTCCCACCCCACCTCCCCTTTGTCGTCTCTGTCCTCTAACAACAGGAGAACTCAGTGCAGCCAGGGAAGCGGCCACTCTCTTTCCTGCTGCCCACAGTGGTCCGACCCGCGGAGGGGCTCTGTGGAACCTACCTCGCTCTGGGGGCCAATGGAGCTGCCCGGGGCCTCAGCGGCCTGACCCAGGTGAGGTTTACTCCATGATTGGCTTTTTTTCAGTCGGGAGCCAAGCTGTGGCCTAGACTGCAGATGCCCATCATCTCTGTGGCTTGTCTCCATTCCTTATATGGCAAACATGGGCTGAGGCTGCTTTGTGCCCGGCGCACCCTGGGCAATGTGGACATGGGCTGCGCTGGGTTTCTTAGTGAAAATGGAGCCCCAATGCTCCCTGTCTTTCTCAGTTGCAGGGGAAATTGCAGGGTCAGTAGAACTGAAAAATGAGGTTAGCATGTGGGCGGCCTGGGTTCTGTTAACCTCAAGTCCCATTATACCTCTACCCAGCATCTGAATAGACAACCAGCCCCCTTTAGGATGGGATTTTGAAAGGAAGGGCCTGCTTCTCTCCAGAACACCTCGGAATGGTTCCATGAATGTCTTGAGCACCTGATATATATGCCAGGTACATATTTTGGCAGGTGATGAGTTAACTGTCTTGAGTTCTGGAATCACACACGCCTGGGTTCCAGCCCAGGTGCTACCAATTTGCAACCGTGTGATGCTGGAGAATTCACTTAACAGCTCTGAATCTCAGTTTCCTCATCTTTAAAATGGAAATAATAACAATAGCTAACATTATAGAGTTCATACTAAGTGCTGGGCACTGCGTTATGTGTATTAACCCTCTTAACCTTCCCAGTTCTGGAGGGAATCCTTATTTCTATTTTATAGATAAGGAAACTGAAGCCCAGAGAGGTTAAGACATTAGGTCAAGTACCTTCAGCTAGAAAGAGTGGGCAGGCAGTTTGGTTCCAGAGCCTACGCACACTCCTAACCACTAGGTTAAAGACACCACATTGTGCCCTAGATCACCCCTAGCTGTTAACCTTGTCCTATCCAGAGAGAAAAGAAGGGAGCCTGGGGCTAAAGGAGACTTGGTTCTAGTGGTGCTTCTTCCCTGGCTTCCTCTGCACTCTGGGGTGAGTCATTTCCCTTGCTGGCCTTCAATTTCCCTCTCTGTGAAATGGGAACGGTCATCACAGGCCTGCCTGTCTTCCAGGACTATTAAGAGGCTCAGATGCCTAATATAAGAGTTCTCAAGACTGAGGAGCCTGGACCATCACCCCTGGGATTTTTCTGTTCTTTGACTACTTCAGGTTCTGCTGAATGTCCTGACCTTGAACCGGAACCTGAGTGACAGCCTAGCCCGAGGCCGCCTACATCCGGACCTGCAGTCCAACCTCCTGCAGGTGGACAGTGAGTGCAGAGCAAAGACCTTGTGGGACGGGCACAGGGACAGGTAGAGAAAGGGGCTCCTCCCAAGGGTGCCCCTGCCTCAACCAGCTCCAACTGCAGTAAAGTTTGGTTTTCTTCAGCAAATTCCTATTGGAGCAGTGAACAATCTGGGGATTGGAACCAGTCTTGCCATTTCCTGGCTGTGTGGCCTTGGGAAATCCATGTCTCAACCCTGAGCCTCAGTTTTCTCATTTAAAATAAGACGCAGTTGTTCATTCTTCAAACCTTCATTTACTCAACAGTTTGTATTGAACACCCACTATGTGCCAGGCATCATCCTAGGTGCTGGGGCTACTGCATTTACAGGTAAACAGGAAAATAAGTCATCAAAGAAATATGAGACAGTAAAATAAGTTCTCTGCCAACTGTCAAAGCAGGGTGATATAATAGGACTGACTCAGTGATCAAGGAAGACTTCTCTTTGGTGACATTTAAGCTGAGATCTAAAGAGTGAGAAAGAAGCTGGGCACAAAGGCTCAGACCTATAATCCCAGGCTGTGATGGGAGGATTGCTTGAGGCCAGGAGTTCAAGACCAGCCTGGGTAACATAGTGAGGCCCCCCTGCCCCCATCTCTAAAAATTTTTTTTTTTTAATTAGCCAGGTGTGGCGCATGCCTGTAGTTCTAGCTACTTGGGAGGCCAAGGCAGGAGAATTGCTTGAACCTGGGAGGCGGAAGTTACAGTGAGCTAAGATCGCGCCACTGCCCTACAGCCTGAGTAACAAAGTGAGACCCTGTCTCTTAAAAAAAAACAAAAAAAAAAACAGGGAATAAGAGAGAGCCCACTATACAAAGAACTGGTGCAGAGCTTTGTAGGTCAGGGAGCAAGTACAAAGAACTCAGGGCAGGAATGGGCTTGGTGAGTTTGAGGAATTAAAAGGAGACCTAGATAAGCAAGGATGAAATTAGATCAGAGAGGCAGGCAGGCGCCAGATGATGGACCTTATAGATTATGGTGAGGAGATGGACTTTCGTCTAAGAAAAGGGCTTAATTTCATCACAGCTGAATTTTAAAATAGGAAAGTATGTGGACCTTTGAGGAGTTTTTATTACAACAGACAACGTATTAATACTATGCTAGTCCAAAAGAATTGATTTATTGAGAAATGATTGAGACACGGTCTTTGCCTGTTCAATACTATTATTCCCATTCTATAGAGGAAGAAACTGAGGCTCACAGAAGTAATAAACTAGTCAAAGATCAATCACAAAGTGGCAGAACTTCAATGAGGACATACACCTGGCTGATACCAAAGACTCTATTCTGTACCACACAGCTCTTATAGCTCCTGAATCACGTTAGAAGCAGAGACCTAGATTTTCAATGATCACATCCTGTAGCTGGCCAGCGAAACTTGGATCCCAGCCTATAGATGACAAGGCCACATCCTTGAAACTGAATTTTGTTCAATGAATATCTTTTGGTCTCTGTTGAATGTAAGGCTCTGTGCTAAGTTATTTGGGCTCAGCCCAGTCCTCCCTTCAGGGCCTCCCAGTGTAAGATGGAGGTATAAGGATGGGGCCTTGGTGAAGGGAAAGTTCATCCACCTGAAGCCTTGGGGAGGCTTTATGGAGGATGTGACAAGTAGCTGGGCCTTGAAGTATGAGCAGGAATTTGGCATGTGGAGGTAAAGGACATTCTGCACAGGAGGAACAGCCTAAGCAAAAACCAGAACCAGTGGCTCAAAGAGCAGCCAGGAGGGTATTTATTGTTTCCCAGAGTTCTGAATTTACCCAGCACCGTTGTGACTTTTGCCACATTCGCACACCATCTAAACCATTATGTACATAACGTGTCTCTATAAATGAACTTCCTTTTTAGCCTAAAAGTATTTTACTTACTTTTTTTGAGAGAGAGCCTCACTGTCACCAAGGCTAGAGTACAGTGGTGCAATCTCGTCTCATTTCAACCTCTGCCTCCTGGGTTCAAGCAATTCTCATGCCTCAGCCTCCCAAGCATCTGGGATTACAGGTGCAGATGCCAACTTGCCTGGCTAATTTTTGCATTTTTTTTAGAGATGGGGTTTCACCATGTTGGCCAGGCTGGTCTCAAACTCCTGACCCCAAGTAATCCACCTGCCTCGGCCTCCCAAAGTGCTGGATTTATAGGCATGAGCCACCATGCCCGGCCCTAAATGTATTTTAAAAATAGACCTTATATGATAATCACAAATGGAAAAATGACATCATTTGCAACAAATAGATATGTGTAGTCTTTAGTTAAATATTGCTGCCCATGGAAAGCTCTGAGGCCTGCTTTCTCCATTAAAGAAGGAGATTAGGAAGTGCTGTAGAGCAGACAAACTTGGTCCTTGCCATAATCAAAAGGATGGAAAGTGAACCACAAAGGAAGTAGATTTTTGATTAGGTGATTTAATGCTATTCAAGATTGGGTCTTTATATCAAGAGCTCCTTAAGTCTTCCTGTTAGGGAAAGAAGGCCAGATCTTTATTGAGGAGCAGTGGGATATGGAGTTATAGGGCTTATCACAGAGGTCAGCCTTAAGGTTATCCAGTTGAGTAGGGGAGGCACGTGACCTGATTTGTCTTATTTAGGAGAAGTAGATTGAGGGGCAGAGAATTTATGTCAGGAAAATATGAGAAGCAGCTGGGATAGGTATGGCCCAGGCAAGAAATGATGAGGACATGAATTTACGCAAGGGGATGGGAATTTGTTCATCTATCTATTAAGGGTCTGCTCAATATTTACTATGTACTGACCCTGCACTGAGGGTCAAACAAGACAACATTCCTACCTTCAAAAAGCTTATAATGGCCGGGCACGGTGGCTCATGCCTATAATCCTAGCATTTTGGGAGGCCGAGGTGCGTGGATCACCTGAGGTCAGGAGTTCAAGACCAGCCTGGCCATCATGGAGAAACCCCATCTTTTAAAAAAAAAAAAAAAAAGCTTATAATGTAGTGGAGAGAGACACAGCAAATAAATAAACAAATACAGGTAGTAGTAAGTACTTTTGAAGAAAACCCAACAAGTTAAAGATGGTAGGGACTGCTGTTTTAGGTAATGGTAGAAGACATTCTTGAAGAGGTGCCAAAGACTGGACTGAAGTAAGGGAGCCTGCATTGACTTTTTAGAAGAGCATTCCAGGCAGAAAGAACAGTAAGTGCAAAGGTACTGAAGTAGAAGCATGTTTGACCTTCTAAAGGGACAGCAAGGAGGCCAGTGTGGCTGGAATACAGCTAAGCAAGGCGAGGAATAGAAGGAAATGAGGGGAAGAATTTAGAGATGTAGCAAGGTCCCAAACAATGTTGGGCTTAGAGGCACCTTGGTAAGGACATTGGTTTTTTTGTTTTTTATTTTTTTTGAGACGGAGTTTCGCTCTTGTTACCCAGGCTGGAGTGCAATGGCGCAATCTCAGCTCACTGCAACCTCCGCCTCCTGGGTTCAGGCAATTCTCCTGCCTCAGCCTCCTGAGTAGCTGGGATTACAGGCACATGCCACCATGCCCAGCTAATTTTTTGTATTTTTAGTAGAGACGGGGTTTCACCATGTTGACCAGGATGGTCTCAATCTCGACCTCGTGATCCACCCGCCTTGGCCTCCCAAAGTGCTAGGATTACAGGCATGAGCGTGCCTGGCTTGTCCTTTTTTCTTTTCTTTTTTAAATTTTTATTCAGTCCCTGTAGAGATGGCCAAAAATTGCCAACGCCGTCTACATTTCAAGTTGTCATGGCAGGGTATTGGGAAAAGTTTTCAATTAGCAATAATCGCACCTCAGATAAACCTCATTGGCTATGATACTGCCACTGTGCGAAGCTTCCTTTTTACAATATTCAGAATGACTATATATTATTGATCACTTACTGTATACAAAGTTCAGTGTTGTGTGTGTATTACCTCCTTTAGTCCCTGCAACAACTTCATGTTCTCATATAATCCCTATTTATACATTAGGAAACTGAGGCTCAGCAAGGTAAAGTGATTTTTCCCATACAGCTGTATGGTAGAACAGCCAGGACGAGGACTCAGGTCTGACTGTGGGACTATTGAGCTAGTGCTCTGTGCATTCTGAATGTGTGTATGTTGGGGATGATTTTCAGGTGAGTTCACAGAGGAAGAGATTGAGTTCCTGGAAGCCAGGGGTCACCACGTGGAGAAAGTAGATGTCTTATCCTGGGTCCATGGCAGCCGAAGGACCAACAACTTCATCATCGCTGTTAAAGACCCTCGGAGCCCAGATGCAGCTGGAGCCACCATCCTGTAGAGCAGCGGGGTGGGGTGGGGTCTCTGCTCCCCCACTTTGCATGTTCCCAGAGTCCCTCCTTCTCCCAGGTTTGGTCTCAGGGGGACCCCAGGGGTGCCCCCGATCAGGGGCCAGAGGGGATGCTTAGCAAACCCAATCCCAGAGTAACTGGAAAATTCTCCATCAGGAGGCCTGTGGTGGTGGTGGTGAGTGTCAGTATCCACAACCAGGCAGGCAGGACCTTGAGGAGTCAGACTATCTGTGTGTCTCCTCACCTCCTTCAGCCATGCTGGCCCTGAGATTAGGGATGTGCTTGCAAACCCTTCTCAAGGGTCTAACAACCCCATCTTCAGACTGGCCTGACCTGGGCCTTGTCTTCCAGTTCCCTTCTCCTATTCCCAGCCTCATTTCTTAAATGACTAGGAATTTTTTAATGGACCATCATAGGGAGGGGGCGCTCCTCTTTTCCCACCAGGTTGAGGTGGGGGCCTTGCATCTGGGGGTCCCCAGGGTATGGGGTAGGGGTGGGGGTTGGGACCAGCTCAGGGGCTTCCATTTGCAAAGGGGAATTAAAGAAAGGATGTTGCTTAGCCATGGCTGTGGTTTAATTTATATTTAACTGGGTTGAGAGTGGGAGTGGGAGAAGTTACACTGTCCCAGTAACTGGCTCCAGAGTAACCTAGAGTCAACATTGTAGGACTTATAATAATATCTACTGTCGGGGCTGAGCGCAGTAGCTCACGCCTGTAATCCCAGCACTCTGGGAGGCCGCGGTGGGTGGATCACAAGATCAAGAGATCGAGACCATCCTGGTCAACATGGTGAAACCCCGTCTCTACTAAAAATACAAAAAATTAGCTGGGCATGGTGGCACGTGCCTGTAATCCCAGCTACTCAGGAGGCTGAGGCAGGAGAATTGCCTGAACCCAGGAGGCGGAGGTTGCGGTGAGCCAAGACTGTGCCATTGCACTCCAGCCTGGGTAACAAGAGGGAAACTGTCTCAAAAAAAAAAAAAAAAAATCCAGCTAAGACATGCACCAATAATAATTATAATTCATAACAATAAATGTATTAGATAGCATCTAATCTTTATTACAAAACTCACAAGGTAGGTACTAATATTATTGCCGTTTTACACATGGGAAACAGGCCAAAACAGGTTAAGGGACTTGTCTAAGGTTCTTCATCCATGAAGTGGAAGAACTGGGGTTCATCTCAGCATGTCCAACTCCAGAATTTGTGCGCTTAACCAATTTGTTTATTTTATTTTATTTTTAATTTCCTTTCATTTATTTTTTTTTTTACTTTTTTTAAATAAAATAAAAAAATTATTTAAAGAGACAGGTTTTACCATGTTGGCCAGGCTGGTCTTGAACTCCTGACCTCAGGTGATCCACCCACCTTGGCCTCCCAAAGTGCATTACAGGCATGAGCCACCGTGCCTGGCCTGCTCTTAACCAATTTCACACGTACTAGTTGAAATATTTGTTATAAAGTATATGTCATATAGTATGTGTCAGATAGTACCTTTTATAGATAATATCATTCATGTATACATGCCTCCATCCATTACATTCCAGGTACTCTGTTAGGCACTAGAGATTCAGCGCTGAACAAGACAGACTTGTTCATGGGTTTGCAGTCTGTAAGGGAAGTCAAACGTTAAAGAAATGAGCACAGATAATTCAGGTAACTGCTGTCACAATAAGTTCTATGAGGGATACATGCTAAGAGAACATATATCAAGAAAGTTAATCTAGTTTGAGGTTCAGCAAAAGCCCCCCCCAAGAAGGTCATGAGGATGAATAGAATTGACAGGAAAGGATTAGATATGGGATGTGAAAATGTCATTCTAGGCAAAGGGAACAAACAGTATGTTCAGAGGTGTGGTGGGAAGGAATGTGTCTTGTTTTAGGAGGTGAAAGAAGGCCTATATATTCTTCCCAGAGCAGGGGTTGGCAGGCTTTTCCTACAAAGGGCCAGAAAGTAAATATTTCAGGCGTTGTAGGTCATATGGTTCCTGTAGTAATTATTCAACTTTGTTGTTGAAGTGCAAAAGCAGCCATAGACAGTGTGTAAGACAGCATCCTGATGGCTGTGGAAGCGTCCAACAGAACTTGATTTTCTAGAAATAGGCCCTTACTGGCAAGAAGGCAGTAGCGTGCTGATCCCTACACTAGAGCACCCCAAGGGGATGATGAAATGAGATGAAACTGGTGAGGTGGGTAGGTCATTCTTATGAGGTTGGTATTAATTCCCCATTTTGTTGATAAGAAAATTGTGACATGAGAGACATGAAGTAACTTGCCAGAAATCAACCAGCTGGTAGTTGGCAGATCCATGACTCAAAAGCAATTTGTGACTCCACAGACTAGGTCTCTCGCTCTCTTTTCTCTCTCTTTCTTTTCCTTTCTTCCTTCCTTCCTTCCCTTCCTTTCACAGATCCATAATTCAAAAGCAACCTGTTTGACTTCACAGACTATGTCTCTCTTTCTCTTTTCTCTCTCTCTGTCCCCTCCCTCCCTCCCTCTCTCTCCCTCTCTCTTTCCTTCTTTCTCTTTCTTCCTTCCTTTTCTCCCTTCCTTTCCCCTTCTTTTCCTTCCCTTCCCTCCCCTTCCTTTCCTTTATTTCATTTTTTTTTTTTTTGTAGAGACAGGGTCTTACTCTGCCACCCAGACTGGAGAGCACTGGTATAATCTCTGTTCACTATAGTCTTGACCTTCTTGGTCAAGCATTCCTCCTGCTTCAACCTCCTGAGTAGCTGGGACTACAGGTGCACACCACCATACCTGGCTAATTTTTCATTTTTTTTTTTTTTTTTTTTTGTAGAGACAGGGTCTCACTGTGTTGCCCAGGCTGATCTTGAACTCCTGGCCTCAAGTGATTCTCCTGCCTTGGCCTCTCAAAGTGCTGGGATTACAGGCATGAGCCACTATGCCTGGCAACTTCTTTAAAAAATTTTTTATTTTATCAGAGTGTAGTTTTAACAGTTTTTCAAATATCCAACACTTTATAGATATATAATGTATACCTGTAATCCACCCCGTCAAAATCCCAACTTTCCAAAAAGATCACTATCAATAATTTAATACACATTCCTCCAACTTTTTCTATACCTTAACATATATTCTGTTTAAAAAGTAAACACACTGTCTACAACTTCCTTTGTTTTTAATTAGCAATATAGCATGGGCATTTTCCCCTGTTAATATATATGGATCCACTTCATTATTTATAATAATGTATCATAGTTCACTGAAGGATTTAACCAGTTTCCTTTTGATGGATGTTTGGGTGATCCTCGACCTGATATCTTGAGGTGTTTGAGCCATGTCTGTAGTCATACCAATTCTCCCAGTCTTTCAAGTGAAGGGTTGTCTTAGTTCATTTGGGCTGCTTTGCCAAAATACCATAAACTGGGCAGACTGTAGCAGAGATTAATGAAATAGAGAACAGAAAAACAATAGAGAAAATCAATAAAACCAAACCCTGGCTCTTTGAAAAAAATTAACAAAATTGACAAACTATCCCAGATTGATCAAAAACAGAGGAAGACTCAAATTACTAGTATCAGAAATTAAAGATGGGACGGCACTTACAATCTTATAGAAATAAAAAAAGGATTGTAAAGAAATGCTGTGAACAATTGTATGGTAATCAGTGAACTTAGATAAAACATAAAATTTCCTAGAAAGACACACACACACTAGGCCGGGCTCGGTGGCTCACATCTGTAGTCCCAGCACTTTGGGAGGCCAAGGCAGGCAGATCACAAGGTCAAGAGATAGAGACTATCCTGGCCAACATGGTGAAATCCCATCTCTACTAAAAAATACAAAAATTAGCTGGGCATGGTGGTGCGTGCCTGTAGTCCCAGCTATTTGGGAGGCTTGAGTCAGGAGAATCACTTGAACCCAGGATTGCAGTGAGCCGAGATCTCGCCACTGCATTCCAGCCTGGTGATAGACTCCAACTCAAAAAAAAAAAAAGAAAGACACATACCAAAACTGACTCAAGAAGAAACAGGCAATCTGAGGAGATGTATAACAAATAAAGAGATTAATACTACTTACTAAAAAACAAACTACTTACAAAGAAAAGCTCAGGTCTCAGATGGCTTCACTGGTGATTTCTATAAAACATTTAAAAAATTAATACCAATTCTTTTTTAAAAACTTTTAATAAATAGAAGAGGAAGAAACCCTTTCTAGTTTATTCTGTGAGGCTAATTTTACCCTGAAATTAAAATCCGACAAAGACATAATAAGAAAACTACAGACCAGGCTGGGCTTGGTGGCTCATGCCTGTAATCCCACTCAGCACTTTGGGAGGCTGAGGTGGACAGATCACGAGGTCAAGAGATCAAGAACATCCTGGCCAACATGGTGAAACCCCGTCTGTACTAAAAATACAAAAAAGTTAGCTGGGCATGGTGGTGCATGCCTGTAATCCCAGCTACCTGAGAGGCTGAGGCAGGAGAATCACTTGAACCCACCAGGCAGAGGTTGCGGTTGCAGAGAGCCAAGATCATGCCACTGCACTCCAGCCTGGCAACAGGGCAAGAAGATGTCTCAACAACAACAACAAAAAAAAAAAAACCAAAAAAACTACAGACCAACATGCTTTTGTGAACATGGATGCAAAATTCCTCAACAAAATACTAGCCAGCAACATATAAAAAGGATATACTGCCTCAGTGGAATACATTCCAGGAATTCAAGCTTGGTTTACCATCCAAAAATCAAGTATTACACTGTATTTTTTTGGTAGAAAAAACAAAAACCACATAATCATCTCAATAGATGCAGAAAAGGCATCTGACAAAATCCAACACCCCTTCATGATAAGAAACAAACAAAAAACACTCAGCAAACTAGGAATAGAAGGAAACTTCCTCAACATGATAAAAGGCAAATATAAAAAACCCTACAATTAATATCATAGTTAATAGTTAAAATTGGATGCTTTCCCACTAAGATTAGAGCATACCCATTCTTGCTACTTCTATTCAATGTTGTACTGGGTGTTCTAGTCAGGACAATTAGGCACAATACAGAAATAAAAGGCATCCAGATTGGAAAGGAAGAAGTAAGACTATTTTTATTTGCAGATGACATGATCTTGTATACAGAAAATTCTAAGAAATCAATGAAAACAATGACAGCTAACAAAGGCATTCAGCGAGATTGCTAATACAAGATCAGTGTAAAATCAGTATAAAGTTTCTGCATATTTTCAATAAACAACCTGTAATGAAGTGAAGGAAACAATTTTGCCCAGGCTGGTCTTGAACCCCAGAACTCGTGCGCTCTGCCTGTCTCTACTAAAAAATACAAAAGAAATTAGCCGGGCATGGAGGCTTGCACCTGTAGTCCTGGCTATTCGAGAGGCTGAGGCAGGAGAATTGCCTGAACCTGGGAGGCAGAGGTTGTAGTGAGCCAAGATCACACCACTGCACTCCAACCTGGGCAACAGAGCAAGACTCATCCACAGTAAAATGGATATTCAAATAACGGTGTATTCAGATATTCAGTAAAATGGTGTATTCAAATAATAAAACGCTGGCCAGGTGCGGTGCCTCACAACTGTA